TGGGGCAACCAGTGGGTGATCTGCTGGCCTGCGGGCTGGGAGCAGCTCCTGCATTGAGCGTCTGGCCCCTGGTGGTCAGTATGCATCATAGCAACCAGTTGTTCCACCAGTCATTCTGCCATTTGGTTAATTTGCATATTAGGCTTTTATTATATAGGATACACACACACACACACATACATACACACACACACACACACACACACACATATATATATTTTATTGATTTCAGAGAGGAAGGGAGAGGGAGAGAGAGACAAAAGCATCAATGATGAGAGAGAATCACTGATCGGCTGCCTCCTGCACGCCCCACACTGGGGATCGAGCCTGCAACCCAGGCACGTACCCTTGACCAGAATTGAACCTGGGACCCGTCAGTAGATGCTCTATCCACTGAGCCAAACCAGCTAGGGCCACTGTTTATTCTTTTCATAGCATTCTTAACTGTCAAAGTAAGTGTTTTTCTTCCCCTCTAAAATAATAATCTATCAGAGAAGGGACCTAACTTATCTCTTCTTTTTCTTTATCCCCAACACCTAAAATAGTGCCTAGAATTCCACATAAATGTTTGGTGGATGAGTGAATGTGAATGTCAGTGAAAAAAATACCACATAGGTAGTCATGGCCATCCCTCTTTGACACTGCTGGACTGACTGTATGTATTTTGGCTGTGGCTTTCGTGTGTGTGTGTGTGTGTGTGTGTGTGTGTGTGTGTGTGTGATGTGTGTATACATATGTGTAAGTGTGTGTTTGTTGGAAGTAACATTGCCATTGGAGAAGGGAAGAAAGTGATACCATATTTGTTATTATAGAAGGTATTAGAAAATCCAGGGTAGCTGTAGACATTTTGTCATGGCAGTGTATGGTAGTTAAAATGAGGGAGTTGAAAATGGACGTCTTAATTCTCTTAATAAACCTCTTATTATTTTTCAGTATTCTTTTGTTGTTGTTGTTAATCCTCATCCTAGGATATTTTTTCTATTGATTTCTATAGAGAGTGGAAAGGTGGGAGGGAGAGTGAGAGAAACACCATTGTGAGAGGGACACATCGATTGGTTGCCACTGTCTGCACCCCAACTGGGATCGGGGATTGAACATGAAACCCAGGTGCATGCCTTTGATCATAAATCAAACCCACAACCCTTCCGTGCTCGGGCCAATGCTCTAACCACTGAACCACGGCAGCCAGGGCTATTCTTCAGTATTTTTAAGTATAGAAGCTGTCACTTTATAAAATACTAGAGGCCCGGTGCATGAAATTCGTGCATGGGTACAGTCGGTCCCTAGGCCTGTATGATTGAAATGTGAGTGTCTGACACAGAAGGGCAGGTCCCAGCTGACCTCTGGGCCCTGGGCAGCATCTGGGCATCCATGCCCCTGTGCGCCCGCCTCTGCCTGAGTCACGGTGCCCAAGTCTCCACGCGGAGAGGTGGTGAGCACGTCTGGATGCTGCAGGCCGGGGTGCAGCGTGGGCCTCTCGGCCGCCCAGTGGCGCCACATGGAAGCCGGGCAGTCAACGTGCTCTCTCCCAGCTGGCCTCATAGACCAGCTCCTGTGCAAACCCACAGGGAACTGTCAGCTGCAGCTCAGCTCACCCAGAAGAGGCTGTGCAGGTGCAGGGCAGGCTCCTCATGGGCGCCCGGCACCTGAGCGCATGGGCTTCCCCAGTGCATGAGCCCTGGCATCCCGGGGGAGGGTAGCAGGGGGAGTGAGAGCGAGCTCGGCAGACACCCTGCATTCTCACCACACCTCCATCCCCGTCACTCCCAGGTAGCAGGCAAGAGGGCACAGCACATCGCTGACTGTCGTCCCCCTGGTGGTCAGCGCACATCATAGCGAGTGGTTGAACTCCTGGTCTCTCAGTCAAACAACCACCTGAGGGGACAGTTTGCATACTAGGCTTTTATTACATAGGATTGCTTTGAAAAGTCTCTCAAAATACTTTGTATGCATTGTCTTACCCAAGCTTCTGAGGCTGTACATTGTTTTAAAATATTTTTTTTATCAAAGTTCTTAATTTTCTTATTTTTCTAGGTTCTTTCTAATGAGCAGAGACCACAGTTACTTTGTTCTTGTTGTAATTAGCAGGAAACGCAGGTCATGTTGTAGTATTATTCAGTGTTAAACAATTAGTTAAACTCTGAAAGAATGTCTTTTATTCTGCTCCCCTTCAGAACTGCACTTAATTTCTTAATTTTTAGACGTTCTGTAAAGGTCACTTTGTGTGTATTCATGAGCCGTATTTGTTTTTTAAATGTATTTAATGCATTTTCCCCTTCATATGTTTTTTTTAAATATGTTTTTTATTGATTTCAGAGAGAGAGAACAAGAGAGGGAGAGAGAGGGAGAAGAAAGAATTGTCAGTTGGCTGCCTCCTCTGCACACCCCCCTCCTGGGGATTGAGCCCACCATCCAGCTTTGTGCCCTGACTGGGAATCGAACGGTGACCTCCTGACTCAGGGACCAATGCTCAGTCACTGAGCCACACTAGGCTTTCCCTTATTACATGTTAATCTATCCTCTATGTAGGGAATATGGGAAATACAGGAAGGTATAAAGAAAAACTAAAAATTACTAATGAATATTCTGAAACATTCATCATTTCCTTTT